ACCCCTAATAGACACCTCAGCTTCACTACTGGAACTTCAACATTATGCACTCCATACTGTACAGTAATGCCACTGTTTTGCACATGTCAACTGCCAACCTTTATTTTATTATTTACTCTATTTACTTTGTAATAAATAAATAAATAAATAAATATACACACACACATATACATATATACGCGCGCGCACACACACACACACACACGTAGTATTCACATTCAGTAATATGCATACACTCTTATATTGTACATATATTTATTCATATAACTCTCAGATGTAGCCATTCTTATATTTTGCTTGTTCTTATGTTATTGTATTTTTGCACACCTCTGTTGCTTGTAAAGCTCGCACACAAGAATTTCACTCACATGTACTGTACCAGTGTACCTGCACATGTGATGTGACAATAAAAGTGATTTGATTTGAAAACTGATGGATTACAGATCAACCTGAGGTTACCTCACTAACTGTATCCAGCTTCATGACAGACATCTGCTACCAGAGCCACAGGTGTGACTTTGACACCACAAGATTTATTTCAACAATTTTACACACTAGCTCCTCTGATCAGTAATAATCAGCACTGTTCTTGAGATAAATCAGACTAACCAAATTCTACCTGAGAGTTTCTTTTATATAAAGAACATGTCTACATTGTAACAAAAAAGCGGTCTCCTTGGCTGAACTGGAGAAAATTAATCAGTGTTTTTTAGATTACAGTAATGTCCTGTTTACTGGCTTAGATAAATCTGAGCTATACAACAACAACAAAAATGAATAATTAAATAAAAAAAACAAAAACCGATGATCAGACTATTAACGAGTTCTATTAAGCAAGTTTTTTCTATTTTATACTCTTTACAGAAGCTCCCAGTAGACTTTGATTCATTTTAATGTTAAATTTCAATTATATAGCAATGTATTTATTCCTAGTTTTTTCGTGTACAGTATTTTGTGACTGCTTGTCTGTGAAAAGCACTTTTATAAATAAGCTTTAATTTAATATCTCCCTGTATGAGGCCTTGAATTACTCTAAAACGACTAAAGACATCACAAAGAGCCACAAACACCCCATAAACGTAATAAACCTTCCCTGCAGGTTTATATTAATGACTCACCTGCTGGAAATCCAGTGTAATGTTTCTAATATTTTTAATAATTGCACAAAATTTAAATCATATCACAAAAAACGTCAATGCACATAAAAACACAGATTTCTCGTGGATTTCTAAAACTTGATAACAGAGTGAAAACTTACTGTGAGTAGTGTGTCAGAGCTGCTGAAGAGTCACAGCTTCGCCTCCTCTTTGCTCTCGGTTTGTAGATTTCTCTCCTGTTAATGACAAAGAGTGTGAGAACGAACCGCGGTGCATATTAATTGTCTAATTAACAGCTCAAAATCCAAACACGGACTTGTGGACGTCTAACATAAATAATAAAAGCTTGCGAACAGGTATAATGTTCTGAATCTACAGCCTTGGCAGGTAAGATGAAGAAGCAGTTTTGGAAAATAAAAGCTCCCGCCCGCTTCCTGAGCAGGCCTCGGGCTGTAGCTAAGGCTAACAGCGGTGTCGCCGTTGGGTTCAATTTACTCCTGCTCGCCGTTTAGGTCTCTTCGCAGACTTATCTGCACTTTGGGTGTAGCAGAAGCCTCCAAACAGGAGAGCAAGGCCCACGGGTGTTTAACCACAGCGGATCATTCACGAAGCAGAAGCTAACTGTTTTCGTAGTGGTAAAAAGCGCGCAAAACATTGTGCTCTTATTTCGAAGGTTTGTACCGGCGGTGCCGACGTAAGCGGCCACAAAAAGCTGCACATGCTTATTTTATCGACAGCTAATGCACATACGTCTCGAGCTGTAATAAACAAATTGCGTAAATGCGCGATTTTACGCCACAACAAAGTAAATAAAAGCAGAAAAGTACCTTCTAATATCCGCGATCTTCAGCCATAATCCACGTGACATCGAAGTTCTCGCGAGACGACAATATTGATCAAAGAGAAACTGGGTTCGGTCAAGATAGACACCGTCGCTCCCTGACAAAGGACGACAGTTGGGGAGGGTTACTATCGTTAATACGGAATTACAGTAATAGCAACAAATAAAAGAATTCATTTCATTTATATTTAACCCTTTAATCTATAGAATACGAAATATACACATACGAAGCCAATAAAAAAATGTTGCCTAGAAAATAAGAAAATAATTTTAAGCGACACTGATTTTGAAATGTTCAAAAGTGCTGTTGTTGGCTGATATTTATAAATAGCATAGCTGTGTTACCAAGTAGACTGTATCTGTAGGCTATTTATCTGTCAACAGTCATGCACATGTATTTTTATATTTCATATTATATCATTACTATTATGTCGTAGTAATAGCAATAATAATATGCACTGATAATATATAATAATATACTCGACTTTTTCCTGCTTTACTTACAACATGAGCAAGACATTATTTTGTGTGCAGCCTATTTATGACTCAACTATATGTACATTCAAGCGTAAAACATCGTTTTTATGATGTTTTCATTTTGGATTTTAAATATAAGTTCAGATGTGTACAGCCCAAAGAGGGAAACATTTTAATCTAAACAGTCGACCAAGGAACACACGAGGAAATAACCATAAATAAATAACAGTAATTCAAACTCATTAAATACTGAACAAAAACTTTATTAAATGGTAAAAGTGAAGACACCAACATCTGACTAACTTTAGATTTTTTCATATAAAATATGTCTAAAATAATTTATGTTTCTATAATGGACTTCCACTATATCTGTGGAAGTTTTTAAGTTCAGACACTGTGTGACTGATTTAAGTGTTCGTCAGAGAGATGTCCTGTGGAAAGAAACTGCACAGATGTCTGCTTGTTTTGGTGTACAGTGCTCTGTAGCGCCTACCGGAGGGAAGAGTTGGAACAGGTTGTGTCCAGGTTGTGATGGGTCTGCAGTGATGTTGTCTGCTAGTTTCTTTGCTCTGGCTTTGTACAAATCGTGAATCGAGGGTAAGTTGGGGGCAGGTTCTTCTGCAGTCCTGACTGTCTGTTGTTGTCTGCTCTTTTTCTGTTTACTGGCTGATCCAAACCGTACGCCGATGGATGAGCAGAGAACAGACTTGATTATTGCAGAGTAGAACTGGATCAACATCTCCTGAGCTGCAGCAGGAAGTGAATCCTCTCCTTTTGATGATAGTGTCCATACTGGTGGCCGCTTCAGGTTGCTATCTGGAAACTTAACAATTTTGACAGATGGGTCTTCTAAGGTGTCATCATTTGTGTAGAGGGAGAAGACTTATTGCAGCGTAACTAAGGGAATCCTTCCTTATGCTGCTGGGAGATTCCCATGATGCACTGGGTGTTTCTCCTTCAGTCACCTTTCTTGCTATGTGTTAACAGACCTCTCTGCAGTGAATCATACTTGTTATTAACCTCTGGCTCTCTTCCACAGCATGTCTTTATCCTGTCTTCCTTCTCTCACCCCAACTGGTCGCAGCAGATGGCCCCGCCCCTCCCTGAGCCTGGTCCTGCTCGAGGTTTCTTCCTGTTAAAAGGGAGTTTTTCCTTCCCACTGTCGCCAAAGTGCTTGCTCGTAGGGTTTTCTTGGTTTTCTTTGTATTATTGTAGGGCCTTTACAATATGAAGCATTTTAAAGGCAACTCTTGTGGTGATTTGTTGCTATAGAAATAACAACAAATTAAACTGAATAGAAGAGATGAGGAGGGAGGACACAGTCCTGAAATGTGATTCTCCCCAGTCTCACCTGCTGCTTCCTGTCATTCAGAAAGTTTGTGATCCACTGACAGACGGAGGCTGGGACAATGAGCCGAGTGAGTTTGGAGCGGAGGACTCCAGGACATGTAACAGTGCAGTCGAGGTGTTGCAGTGTTGAGGTGCACTCCTATGTTGACACCATCATCCACTGAACTGTTTGACCAGTAGGTAAACTAAAGGAGTGGAGCAGGGGACATGTGATGTCTTGCAGGTAGGTCAACATCCATCTCTCAAAGGATTTCATGACTACAGACGTGAGGGGCACAGGCCTGTAGTCATTAACCCAGTGATAGAGGGTTCCTTGGGGACTGGGATAATTGTGGATCGTTTGAAACAGCAGGGGACTTCACACAGCTCCAGGGATCTGTCGAAGATCAGTGTGAAGATGGGAGGCAGCTGATCAGCACAGCCTGGTAACATCATGATCTTCTGTCTCCTGAAGAGTTGCCTCACATCTTTTTCACACAAGGTGGGGTGTGGGTGGGTGTGGACGTGGACGTGGCTATGTCTTGTGGCTGGAGAGGCTGAAGGGTGTGAAATAATAAGAGTAATAAATAAAAACAATATGATATTTGGTTTTATACAAGTGTTTGGCGCTATTTAGTGTTTGGCTTGCACTCACGTTTATTCAAGAAATCTGTCATTTCAGAAATCTTTGACTGAATTTATAGTTTAGGAAATAATCAAACTGATGTTTAGCTACAGTCTTACTTCAGATTTCCTCTTAATCACATTTGGAGGCCATAATAATGTGCAGGAAAATAATAAACTGTATGCAACAGTGTGCAGCTCAGGCACTAAAACACTGTTTTGCACTCATCGTGCATCATGCATGGAGTGAAGGAGCTGATTATTCCAGAGAAAAACACCTTCAGCCCCACATTCAGCCCAACAGGCTGCTGTGAGCTGTTATCCTGCTTGGGTAATTATGGCACATTATCCTGCTCACGTGTGATATTCTTCTTGCTTTTAGCCATAATTAGACTCATTCATCTGCAGCAGAAGATTTGTTCTGTAGCTTCACAGGAGAAAACTGCTGCTCTTGGGATCACTTCAGAAAAAAAGAAGAAGAAGAAGATTAAAACAATATCCTGCAGGTGTGTTTATTGTTTTTGTTGACAGCTAATTAAAAATTCTAGCCTGAAGCAATATGTCCCAAACTGGCAAATGTGGACTGTATTAAATGTGGAGAAGTGCTTTCCCCACGAGTCTGACCTCAAACATGATTGTTTTTGGCAGCAAATATTTTCAGATAGATTTTCAAATGATCTTTTTATGTGTGTGGGTTCTTCAGCAGCATCTAAAGCTAAAGATCCATATCGTTACACATCTCTAAAGCGCAATAACGTTGTGTATAAACCTCACAGAGCAACAGCTGAGGCAGACACATGTAGTAAAATATAAATATTAAATGCGTTCATTGAAATGACATCAGAAGACAGTGAATAAATATTTTTAAAGTTAAACCTCTGATAAATTATTTTAAAATGTGCATCTCATGGCTCCGATTCCTGATGTTCATGCACAGAAAAAAGGAAATAGAGGAAGTTTGGATTATATTTTATATTTTTAATAATAACAAAGCTACAGTAGCACTTCCGACCTTTCTGCACTGCATTAAAATGCCTCCACACCAGGGGGCGCTGCAGGCTCAACTACAGTAGGGTGAAAGGAGCTTGCAAGCTCCTTTGACTACGATGACCTGGATGACTGAGAACCTTCACAGACATACAGTAGGGTGATTTGAACTCAAAACGTTATTTATTTATTTACGTATTTATTAATTTATGTATTTATTGTGACAACAATAATAAAGCTTATACAAATGGATTTAATATAAATGCAGTAGTCATGTAGTTAAGAAAGAAAGACAGAAACATTGTTTTATGGTCTTGATGTTTTCGTACTGGCGACAGTTACACCCATAAACCGTTTGAAAGCACCATTCGATGAAGACATTTTATAGCAATACAGCTGAGTTTTACTGCATTATTATTTATCGCTTGCTGGCACACAAACTTCCTCTCATGGCTGTCCACATGAGGCCACATCATGGTTAGTGATGAAAGTTCATTAGAAGATTAAATGTGCCAAAAAGCGGACTCGGTAAAAACACGATGTCTGAGCAATAAAAAAGAAAAAGATTTTTTTTTTAATGTTTATGAAAACGCCTAAAAATCTTTCCATTCAAAGATGGAGAGGTGGATCTATGATTCCTCGGATGTTTTTCTATACAGGAAGATAAATATATCAAAAATGGTGCACACTTTGAAACAGGGCTCACATCCTGTTTCTTTGTATTTTCTTCACTTCGTTGTAAAACACATGCAGTGGATATAATGCATCGCTCTGTTTCTTTAACCGCTTATCCACCTTTCGATCATAGAGAGAGCTGGAGCCTTTCCCAGCTGTCACACCCCGGACAGGTCACCAGTCCATCGCACACTCACACCCACACTCACGGTTTAGAAACATTTAACCTGGCACGCATGTCTCCGGATTGAGGGAGGAAGTCCGGAGAGAATCCACGCAGGGACAGGCAGAAAATGCAAACCATGCAGAAAGGCCCCGGCTCGCCAGGATGTTCCAAAGAAAAACCTCGCTGTGAGAGGACAGTGTTAACCTCTGCACCCTGTGCACTGATATAATGCACCACATCTAAAGCACTGTCAGTGATTGCTCTTTCTTTACGCTATCAGAAATGTGCATCTTTTAAAATGTAAAAAATAATTCAGACTGACACATCAAAAAGCTATTTTCCTTTTATTTTAGTCCAAAATGGGTGAGGGATAGAAGCGAGGGCTGAGGTTGTCACACACTTAAATGCCAAACCTATAAAACATCCACTTTCAGTAACGACACACTCAATCATTCAACTCGTAAAAAAGAGAGAAAATAAAATTGTTCCTCAGTTAGCTTCTAAATATTCAGTCAAGGACTTTTTAAATGTTATTTTTGTGTGTACTTTGTCTCTGTACTGCACCACGATGGTCCTGTGTGGTCATTTTTGTTACTCAGCTGGGGCTGCTGGGGCTCAGGAGGTAGAGCGGCTTGTCCACTAATTGGAAGGTCAGCTTTATCCCCTGATGCCTGGAAGGTAGATGGTTGAATGAAGCTTACAGTATGAAAGTGCTTTGAGT